TCTAAAATACAGTAGTAGATATGCTAATATTATAAATTTATAATATTATAAATACACATCAAATATCTTTAAAGCATGAAGTAAAAGATAGAAGGAAGGAAGTGAAAAACAATTACACTGGAGTAAAGCAAGTTTTTATGCAGACAGGTCAAGTGAACAGTCAGTTCCTTTGCTAGTCTGAGCAGGGTTACATATAAACGGCAAGAAAAATAATCTATAAAATGGCCTAGAACTAAGCAAAGTGAATAAAATTAAATAATAATTACAATAGTAATAATAATATAATAATAATAAATTATTATTATTATTATTATAAGACAAAAAAACATGTACTACTATATAGTAACAAAAAATAGGTATACTAGTAATACAAAATAATATAAGTAAAAAAGAGTTAATCATAATAACACTTATTATGTCCATACATAGTTTGTGAATTATTATTATATGAATTTCTTTTCATTCCCAATATTTGTTTTTTCTACTGCTTCAAATAAGTCATTCCTTTGTGTCTAGTATCTGGAACCGGTTATTATGAAATGATATTCATTTGCAATATCGTTATTGGAACACAAATTGCAAATTTTCTTTTCCACTTTACCACTATGTCATCTGTTCTTTGATTCGAGACAATGGTTCCCCCCTGGGGTTCTCCAATCTGAATTTTGTTAGAATTGCCGCCCATTTTATTGACATAATGTATAACCATCCGAAAACAGTCACGACAAAGCGCCAAAATTGTCTCTATACCCTCGGTTTATACATCATTATTTGCAATTGAAAAAATCAATAACAGTTTTCCTCGGGTAGTTTTCATCCAAACTTTATACCAGACGAATATCCAGTCCCCCGATCCAGGCCCCCAAAAGAAATTACAAATATGATGGGTCATGTCAAACACGACAGCAATAAAAATGAATATACAATACGCAATTCAAGTAAACATTTGTAAAATTACGTTTAAACTTGTCAATAATTTCTGAGATTCTCTCACTTGATCCAAGAACTCGCTGTAAAAATATGTCTACACCGTCAATTCCCGCCATGTTGATGACTTCACTACGCATGCGCAGATTTCGTACACACTGAACACAGTGCATTGTGGGGTTCATTAACGGGATAAATGATGGCCTAAAGTTGCAAACTTCTGCGCCCGGTTAAGACGATCCGCTACGTGAAAATATGCCAATAAAAGACCAATAAAAATACTAAAACTCGAGTAAATACATGGAAAGCGGAAAAACATACCCCATTCTAGACCAGGCGAACTGATATTGGACCAAAAGGCAAGCAAATCTATACCCCCATTCTAGACCCAAACAGCAAAAAATTAAGACCCCAAAAGGCGGCACGTCCCTATAATACGATTTGCATTAAGTGCCCCCCCCCCCGCCCACATCCTCCCCGTGGCTCGAGATGCGGTGTATTCTGCTGTAGGATACACCGCATCACTCTTGAAAATAACTTTCATACGCAAGAAAGCCACAGGGAGCGTGTGAAATGTTGTCATATTATTCCTATCCACTTGAAAAAACAGTCGAAATGATCCCAGTAACTACAGACTGAGCTATATCACTCATGAGTATTTTGGAAAAATCTTCACCAGTATCATTGAAGCACGACTATCAAAATGCGAAAGTTTTTTTTTGATAAAATCCCAGAGACACAGGCTGGATTTAGGGAGGGCTATTCAACTATTGACCAAAAATTATATGCCATAATTCAGAAACAGTTAGCCAGCGAAGGGGGAAAATTGTATTGTCTTTGTATAGATTTCAAGAATGCATTTGACTCGGTTAACAGAGTTATTTTATTGTTTAGACTGGCCAATAATGGTATCAATGGAAAAAAATATGTAATTTTACAAAGTATTTATAAAGATGTCAAATCATGTTTTCGTGAAGAAGGGGTTACTTGGAGACCTTTTGAATTGAAAAAGGGGTTCGACAAGGCTGCATGATCAGCCTTATTTTATTCTCATTTTACATTAATGAGCTACAAAGCATGCTGTATGCTGTCTTCTTTTTAGTCCCTCACTCACGGGGATCTGCCAACACCCCTTGGTTAGATCAATTTTGGTGAAGTACCGACACTATTTTAATTGTGAAAATAGGTTTTCAGGTGATGTCATTGGTTCTACATCGAACTTTTTAATGCGATTGAGTTTGCGAAATACAATGCAAAACCTAACACCCCCTCCTTTCTTATCTACCAAAACAATGAATGAGGCATAAGGTGAATTGATGGTTCAATTACACCCATTCCTAACAAACTCTTAACCTCTGACTTCACTATATATGTCATATATAATGGTAAATGGTATGATTTAAGTTACGTTCATGCCGCTCAAACAGTTAAGGCGATGTCATGGTGTTATGGCTGTCATACTAAGTCACATGACTACATGTTTTAGAACATACAACATGTAGAGCAGTTTCACTATTACAAGCTACAAATATCCAGTGGTAGTGCTATTCTTGAAATAGGTAATAATTTTATTTCCATTGATTAATTTCCATATCGCGGTGAATTATATAGGTTAAATGTTACACTAATCATTCCGGCCAAGCATCACAACTACGAAGAACTAGCGACAAAGTCCACAGTACAGCTGATCGAAGTAAGGAAAATAACGACTGTAGCCTTTAGTATCAACACCATCAATTCTAATAAGGTATTCTTGTATTTAACATAAAACAACATTACTTAAGTGTGCAACTAACTGACATGAGACATGACGGGAAACACGTATCTGATGTACTCTGCTTTGATTCCTAAGATCTGTATTAAAAACGCTTTTTGTCTATTCTATATTGCGTTTTCCTGTAGGTAAATTGAACGACGTTTTCACTGCGTGTTTGAATTTATTTTACAAATATTTTATGCAATGCAGCAATTAGTACATACTTTAATCTAATGCTTTCCCAATAGGGCAGTGGCATAATTACCATGGTAGGCGTGATGTCACAGATAATACAGATAACACCCACTATTATTAATATAAGACACCTTAAATGTGTCTGTTGGTAACATATATACGTAACTTTATCCACATTACATTTCTACATACTGGACATATACAGACAACGTCAACCATCATTTGTGTCCAGTTATATATTTGGAACAATGTAATACAGAAAAAGTTACACCATTCATATACGTTGTACCGCATGTTACATTGGATATGGTCAGAATCGTGCCCACTATGCTGATTCACATAGCATTTACAGCTAGTGTTTATCGGATTTGAACTGAATGACGTAATTCATCTCTTACACATGTTAGGATGTCCTAGACTCATTACATAAATTACAGTTTATGGGAGAATGGTAAGAGCCTTGCTTGTTGTGATGTATCATTCATGCGAGAATGATAAGACGATTCCCGGCTGCGTTGACTCCCGTCGCATAGAAAAACAGCGTGACTGTAGTGACACTTGAGTTCTCTCTAAACATGAAAGGAGGTTTTTAATTTTAGCCGTTCATTTCAAAATCCTATTTTTGAAAAACCATATCACTACCACAGGTAAAGCTTTGAAAATCACAGCTAAACTATAAATATAAATTACTCATCGCTAATGAATTTATTAAAATTACGCAAAAAAAACAAATACTATTACTAGTAGTCTCTGGAAAATATTACAATTTCACTTGGTCTTTAAATTAGCCACGGACCAATTTATTATTTGCTGATGTATTATAGTTGTGTATTTTTGATTTTGATTTTATGATTTTGTTATTTATTCATTTGCATACGTACATATATTCAAGTTAATAAGATTGTTTTTGTTTTTTATTTACGGTGTTGACTTCTGCGTCGTTGGGACATTACTAGACTGAAAGATGTGAACAGCGCCCCAGCAGCCAGTTCAAAGTATCCCTAAAAAGCTTTCAAAATGGTTGATCACTCACTTTTTTTTTATTTTGTGTCTCCTATGACACGTTTTGGGTCGTTACATATTTTGTTAATGGTCGCTACCAAGAAGTGTATTTATTGACAATCCAAAATAATAAAATAAAATAAAGCTAGCTATTAGTACATTTGCCGTGACACAATACACAGGGGCATACAAGTAGCTATGTCAAGTGTTTCAAAAAGAGTCAGCAAACCAATTCTTGATTTGAGATTTATTGTCGGAAAACAACAATGGCAGCATATGTTAAGATTGCGAAATGAGAAAGTATGTCATTATAGTTTAGTTGCAATTTTAATTGATACATCTAATCTATTTAATTTGTAGCAACAACAAATGTTTCAAATCGGCATTTTGCAATGGAAATGGTTGTTAAACACTGCGGATTTAAAATTACATAGAATGTGAACAAGACATATCACATGTGTTCAGGATAGATGTAATTGTGTATAGCTTGGTCGAACTTTGTCATCACTTCACTGTAGGCCTTCACAGTGAACCCGGCCATGAGTTTACACTTCATGTGTACCAAAACAGCAGCTTGTAAACTGACAAGGAAAAAAAGACGCATCACACCATATATGGCAACAACACTACATCACTTCATCACAGTAGCCTTGTAACTACTGACTGGTTGATAGAGCGAAATATTATTTTATTTAATGACAGCATTATATATGACAGTTTGCTCTCGGCTACTGTTATACTGCCATCAATACATGTTTAAGCTTTCTTATTAAATTTAAGTACAGATAAAGCGTTATTTAGACGGCAGTTATTTAATGTTTTTGCCTTGCTAAGGTCTGACTTAAAACCTCCATCACAAAACCATCTATGGTTTTTATATATTTGGGGAAATAGTTAATCCTTTTATGCAATTATGCACAGCATATGTAACTGTGCACTTATTTCCAAATGGAATATGCTAGAAAAGTCCGAGCCTGTTTATTACCTATTGCATTACAGAAAGAGTTGATTGTTATTACAATTAGGGTTGGTAATACGATTGATCATTATTAAGATGATTATCACATTTAGGGGAGATCCACATTCAACAAGTGCAAAAAAGATGCCAAATGTCTCAGAATACCTAACTTTAGTAACACGAGTGAGCTCTGTATATATATACATCATAATAACAATCATAATTCTCTTTATAGGACTATATTCATGTCATCCCGGTCTTCCATGGAGTAGAAGATACGAGCTTTTATAAACTAATTCAATCATCGCGAAGAAACCAAAGTTACAACAACAGTTGGAACGTACATGGCGGACATAGAGGAAGCATGGGAAGAACTAGCGCTATCAAATCAGATGTAATAATGCAAACTGACATTGATTATATTCACTTTGGTGATGTCATAACCGTTCGTGTCATAGCACGTGATATCAATGGACGTCGACGAATACTAGGTGGAGATTTATGGCGTGCGTCTATTTATAACACCACCAGACAATTTGCATCTATGGGTAAAGTGATTGACCATAACAATGGAACATATACTATACACTTTTACGCTGGTAGCCCAGGGGTTGTGAATTTGAAGGTTGTGCTAGTTTTACAGAGAGAAGCGATAAAATATCAGAATGATGTGTTCAGACCAACAGAGAAACGAGCATCTTGGGAGGGAGTCTTTCGAAGTAACAATATAACTGAAACATCTCGTTGTGTACTAGTTAGAGACAGCTCATGGATGGATAAGTGCGAATTTCCACATCCAAGAGCTTTGGGAAAGACTATATTCTTATGTGATCTACCAGACTCATTGCGTTGCAATACCCTCACTTCAATATCAAATGTAGCATCTGAGACATATGTAGATATTATGAAAATAGATGGTGAAAGAAAGAAATTGTTCAAAACGTGAGTATTATGTCACTATATATTCTGTAACATCAATCAAAGATTTTATTCACAAATATCGAAAGAAACTTTGAAACACTATTGACTATATGTATTACAAACACATTTGGTAGTAATCAGTTAATCTAAATATGCAAATTAATGTGAGAAACAGGACATGATCGCTTTATAAGATATTGTTTTTTATCGATAGATTATGTAATTATTTTACATTGGTTATTGTAAGAGCAATATCAGCCGTGCTGCTCCGTTTGTTGTATACAACTACAATACTGCTTTGCACCAATACTAGTAATGAATTATAGATTCAAATAAACAGACATATGCATGAAACAACAGAATTAGAAACTCATGATCTCGGCAGTTGCCTCACCACAGCAAGAAAAAATGTAACTAACACGCAAAATGGCGTGTAGTGAACAACTTTTGACATGTAATTTCAGGTGTTGTGTACTCGTATATTTCAGGCCGAATGCAGCACAGGTGTTGACAAGCAGTATTTCTAAATTTATCATCCAGCCAGAGGGTATGTATTCCGATTTCACTGTGTCGTCAATCATCGACAAAACCAATTAAATGATGCTTCAAAAAACAAATACTTCATTTCGTTTTATCTAGCGTCTGTGACGTCAGCAGCCAACGTAATTTACTGAATGTAATTCCGATGAGAATATTTCTAAATCATATACAAGTATGACATTTCATTAGCGTTTACATGTTTGTTTTGCAATGTGTAAAACACTCAGGACTTACAATACAATTATACCCGCCATTCTGAAGAGTGTAATAAGTATTTCTTGGTTTTGGTGACTCTATCTCTTTATTTTAACAAAGAGTATGTATACGTACGCCAATGGTGAGACATATTTAGACATGCACATCAATATAATTTGTGTTTTACTTATATTTAAGGAAGCTGAACTTTCAAAGATATATATGGAATCATTTATCACATTCCCTACGAGTACTTCCGAACTGAAAATAAAATAACAAATGTTCATATACAATACATTATGTACATAATTTGTACATCAATATAAATCTGTTTGAATAACAATCTTGTATCAATTTTGCTGTTTTTAGGTGAATTATTGTTAGACGGTGATGAAAACAACAACATTCCCCAATGTGATGACGATTTACCTGAGCCAACAAGTGACGGATATTGGCTTGGTACGAGATGGCACTCTTTAGTATGCAACGCCAAACAATGGAATGATGTAGCAGAGGTACAAAATTGCCTTCGAGACAAACACGTGTTTTTACTAGGTGACTCTACTTCAGTTCAGTGGTTGAAGAAAGTGCTTGAAATTGCAGGATATCCACAACAAGTAAACGATAGCAACTGGCGCAAAACTCTCGCACCGGTACCTGGTTCATACAATATTACAGTGAAGAACGCGTACGCATGTGATATGATGGACATACGAAACAATATCAATTTTACATTTCGACACCATGCTTTGTCTCGTCACAATGAAATCCCAATTCCGCGTTTTCCTTTCTTTGTTGACACTCTGGACAACATGGCTGCTCCAAAATGTAACTACGTAATCGCTATAGGTTTATGGGCGCATTTTGACACTTGGACGCTGGATAGCTTTGAGGAATTACTCGTAAATATTCGTTCAAGTATACAACGACTTAAAGCTAGATGTCCAAACACCGTAATAGCTATAAAAGGACCCCATGAGAGAAATATGATAGCTAATTACTGGATCTTGTATGACATGATTCGCATATTGAAGGAAACCTTCAGGGGTGAAGGGGTGTTTTTTATCGATATTTGGGATTTAAATTTTTCATATTCAATAGCAAACGCATATAAAATGGATACACATATGCCAATGACATTGATTAGAGAGGAAGTATACATATTTTTGTCTTATGTGTGCCGTCATAAGAGATAAAATAGCGCACTTAATTTTGCCATAGATGCAAATTACACATTCCCATGACTGTCACATGGTTTCTGCATGATACCTATAATAAATACATATGCAATGACTATCTTACTGAACATCAATGCATGTTCTGACCTCTGACATAATGTGGTACTTGATAAAACCTGTGAATTTCTTAACTGGAAAATTAGATAAAAACAATATTTAATTTGTAAATTGTGAATTTCCGTTTTTCACATTTCACAATGTATTTAAAAAAATGGGACTGAGATGAAAAACCGTAATGATAGAAAATTCAGTGAGATGGGTGTGATTTTATCCCACTATGCTATTCCTGCACAATTTAAATGGATCAATTGTTTATAAAGTTAATTAATACAACTATACATCAGCGCTCTCTAGAATTTGTAGGGAATCATCTTTATTTGAAATACTCTGATTGGATGGAAGTCGCAGGCCAACATGGTGTGACGGAATTGGCCTGTCGGATTCAAATATGCATGAATCGCTAATTTGACAGGGAAGTGATACTTATAATGCAGCAAGCTGTTTTAATTAATGTTGTGATAGAGTTTTTATATTTTCCCTGTCAAATGCATTTATTGGTTCACTGAAAATCCCTGTAACTTAGACTCTTATTGATCAAGGCATTTTTAAAATCATGGGTGTTAACTTCCCTAAAGTTATCACCCGTGGTCCCCATATAATAATGGTTGCACCCAAAATTAAAATAAAGATGGTGGACTACTCTGGATTACTTTGAGCAAATATAGATCCTAGAAAGTTGGTATTTTATATGCCTGTGTGTTTTTTTGTTTTTGTTTTTTCACTGTCTTTGACTTTTCCATTTTCAGTAATTTGCAATGCTACAGTCAATGTTTTTCTTGACTACCCATCTTCTCTGGGGCGCTATGTGGCTGGTGTGGCTTATTTAAGATAGGGTTAACCAACTAAATTAGCACAGAGAGTAGGACATTTTTCACAGAAATTCACATTCAAATCCAACCAGTTATTTGTTTATATTATTGAAACAGATGTTTATTGACCAGTCGTAATTTTATACATGTAGACATGAACATGATAAATGAAGTGTTATGAAATGAACCATAATATACATGACATGGGTGTGCTTATAACCAAGAAAAACTTATTAACACGCATAAACGTTATTTTACGATTTGTTTTGGTTTCCAGTTCGCCTAAAATGTAATGTAATAAGTGAATTGTATGGGTCCTTAACTTAGAAACAATACACATTGTGTACTATCCTCGTGGAGCGGGCACAGCATAAAGGAAACACGTACACGCAGTTAGCTGAATATCAAATGAACACCAGTTCAAGTTTATTCAATTACTTATGTAGGCTCTTAATTTATACATACAATTCATTCAGGTGGGAATGCCATTCATATTTAAACTAGATCACTACACATTGCAATTAATAAAATGTATTTCAATTAAAAGAAGATATGTGATACATATCTGTAAAATATATTAAATTGTATCCTGTACAACTGGGGTATTATGTGTATGTCGTGTTGATTACGATAACATGATAACATGTTTGTACTCAACGACCAAACGAATGTTCAACTATTAGCCCATAGGTAAGAATAAATATTACTAAAAGCGGTCTAAACTGGTCGCATGTATTCCATACGCCAAATTCCCATAGAGCCAAGCATATGAATCCGTCACTGTACCAGAGCTCTGCATAGGCAAAGTTGTCAAGTCATCATTCAACGATTATTAAAAGAATCGCTGTCACAGTCAGCATTGTGTCTAAACCAGAATTATTCATGGAAGTTGAAAATCGTTCAAACTCGACTTCCGTCGCTGAAAATGTTCCATTCAGATACCCTGAATATCTACAACTGATTGTGTCCTTTTGAATGACTGCAATATCCTCGGTTTTCCATTCTTGTTGGCGTACCATTGACAGATTTTGTGCGATTGTGTATCCATTTCGTTACGAAGTTTCTTTCACTAACGCAAAAACATACATACTTATCGTCATAGCTTGGATGTTAGCAATCGTATTTGTAATGGATTTTTCTTTTGTACTCACATATTTTCAATGATTTTTATGGTTTTCGCATACACCAAGATGTTCAAAGAGATTCTCAATACATTGTCTGATGTGTGCGTATACTGAAGATGCTATCCGCCGTAGCTGTCGTGCTTTTATTTGCTGGAGCCCGAACCAATGGATCTAGTTTATATTATCCACGTTTGAAGTCCGAGTAGACTTCTATTTGACATACTACGAAACAACCGTACTAATGTGCCTCGGCAACTCATGCATCAATGCGTTTATCTACGCGCTGAACAGTCGGCAGTTTTATGAATAATTCCATTGGCCACTTGGAAGGCGCAACAAACAATCATGTCACTTAGAAATCTTTAAGCAAAATTTAGCTAAAATAGAGGTGTTACGATTTACAAATCCTGACAGAAATAATGTAAAACAACCACAGGTTTATGATATTCAAAATATCTTTTTTTCTTATTAATTTGATAAATTAGTTGCCATACTACCAACATTAATGAACAGTTTGGCTTAAATATTTCACTGAACTGAGATTGCGTGACTGTGAGCATTATTTATAGCTATTGTGGAATGTGATAAACTTATCAAAACAGGGAAACCTAATACAAGTACTAATAGGAATTATTAGTGCCAGAAATGTTAATATATTGCGCATTTTGCGAGTAAACTCTCCATGAGGTACGTGCGCGTTCATCGCAGCGTCACTTCGAATAACAAAACGTGTCTGGTACTCGCCTGGTCTGTCGTCTGCTTATGCTCGATTTTTATCTCAGCGTGCCGTATATAACCTAAATGTTGTACAGTTAAATATTGTCAATATTAGTTGCAAAGCAGTTAACTTAGAGGAGGCTTATAACAATTCATTTTTAGAATAAGTTATTTTAAACATGTTTTTTCATGTTATCAGTTATTGAAAATATTTCTCGCTGTCACTTACTCTGGACTTATCTGTTATCACGCTTGTTATGTGCAATATCTGTATACGCTGTTGACTGATTTACCACAGTGACGTCACGTACACACGATGTTGCAGGATTATTTATTATTATCAGCAACTTGCATATATTTACAAGAATGTCATAGATTGTATACTGTATATGAATTGTGTTTCGTAGTGGCAACCCGGCAATGGATTAACCTTTGAGGCACACCAGTTGTAATCACGTGATTGCGTCAACGGTCAGATCCATTGGTCGATCGATTTACTTCGCCATGCTTGGAGATTTATTGAAAAATATGCGATTTTATAATAGAAGTGAACAGCAGGATACAATCGTTGATTGCTGGATTTAGGATTGAAGCTGATCTATCCGTAAGGGGTTAAGTATTTCATTGTGTCTAACTTACTATCTATCCAGTGTGAGTGTTATCTGACAAGGTCCTACACTACGTTACTTTCTTTCTTTAATGCTTTAACTGCCGTGATAAATAATTGTGAAAACTGGACTGGAAAGTAATGATTTTAAATGTCTTTATTCTTTGTGTTTAATAAGAATAAATTAACTATTGCACATATTTTAGATACTATGTAATAATAATTGAAATGCTACATTATCATGTACATTTGTTCAATTATTTATAAACTATATTCGTGAATATTAAAAATCATTAATAATGTTGATTAATGCTATTACTCATTACATGTAAAAGGTTAGCCGGGCGTGTATGGATTCTGCATACAAGTCAGCATTGTTTAAGTACCGTAGGAGTGCTTTAGTGTCAATTTATGTTTCAGTCCAGTATTCAGTACAGACGCGTGGCCTGGGGCAATACGAGCAAGACTGAACTTATTGAAATGCATAAACTACAAAAACGTGTCCTCTGACTCATTTTAGACGCTGAACAAAATTTCTCCTTATCTGAAATGTTTTATAGTTTACAAATCATGCCAATCGATCACGGGATAGACAATTTTATGACCCATTATCTGATTATCGTATAAACTGTATAAACGCCGATATGCTTGATATGCAGTCGTTTTATTTATCGCCGGCATGAGTATTTTACTCTCTAGATATTTAACACTGATGGATACTACTGTAAAAAGAATGCAGTAGATAGTCCTTGTGTAATGTCCTAATGAACCTATATACATTAAACGTATACCAATCAGCAAAAATCACAATCACACGAAAAAACACATATCCAATTCTAAGTGTAAATACAATAAAATAAATAGATTCAAATTATATAGTCATATTAAAATGGATAGATACATAGATATTAATATCTTTTCTCCTGTATTCCGAACGCCTATGACGTAATCGAGGTCGAATGCATTCTCGTATAGCAACCCGCATAGCTCTCGAACGTAGATTCCGAGATGACGATTAGACACACTCACTCAAGCAAAGCTATAATATAAATTGTATATACTATGGAAATATATAGGTACACATTGTTTTTCAAGCGTTCAAAGTTTGGTACACGGCTCGGCTTATAAAGGAGCTCCAGATTTACAGTGTTTTATATATATATATATATATATATATATATATATATCATGCCAAATGCATGGCAGCAGAATTATACAGCTACCATAGGAAGTCCGTGATATGTGCATTAAAGTAAACACCGGGTGCAAAACACAGGCAGGTTCTTTGCATAATATTTGTCACATAGTCTTTCTCAGTATTTCGTATAGGGATTTGACGACTTGGCTTTAGGTAATTAAATTATTATTTTCAAAAATATCGTTTAATTGTGTTTGTGTGGGGAGGGGTGTCATTATTTGTATTGGAGAAATCTCCACGATTTGAAGACATGGTCATGCCATGCCATAATATGAATTGACACTCATGGCCGAC